CTAGTCATTCCTTTCCCCTCCAAGAACAGAACAGCCTTGTACCATGACCCTCACCAGTCACAGGTGGCAGAGTGAGACATCAGACTAACCCCACACATAGGGACAATCTGGCAAAGCTGGGGTCAAAGCACTTCTGGAACATTCCTAACTCTCCAAGTTCTCAGCTGCTCAAAGCAGCTGCATATAACAGGGTTACCCAGGAACAGACCCAGCACAGAGCTATTTCTACTATTTGCAAGGGTGGAGTTTTCAAAAAGGGGTCCTCATCATTCTTTCTGTCCTCACTGTTGATATTCTATCACAGCAACCTACCCTGACCCCCAGGACCGAAAAATTCAATGGGGAATTAAAGTGTTGTTTTTGTGGGCATATGTTTTGGGGGGACAGGAGGATGATGATGGTGATGATGATGATGGCTGACCTTTATTGATCACTCATTAGATGATCAATAAATGCTGTCAGGGCTCTCCAGGTAGATGCTACACCCACCAACCATGCTCATTGTGCAGAGGACCAAATTGAGTCCCTGACAGACAAACAACTCACCTAAAGACAGACAGAAAGTGAAAGGGGTGTATTTGAGCCCAGGCTTTCTGGCCCAAGGTCTAGTTTCCCCTTCTGTGTACACTCTGAGCCTGGATTGTGAGGAGGGGTCCACAGAGCAAGAGGCAAGGGAGGAAGCACRAACTGAGCTTTGATTGATGGCAGCATTTGACATGCTCAGGCGGTGCTATGGTTAAGTCAACCTATTTTAAACAAGTCTCAAGACTGAAAGAGAAGAAATTATAAATAGGTTCCTTCATGGATTTTTGTTGAAATATATAATTTATGCCCATTTTTATACATAAATATCAAAGTTCATAAAAGATTCATACTTTACTATTCGAGTCTTTCATCTTTATCTAAAAAACATAAGGCAAGGCCATTTTGAAATTACTTCTCATTTATTCACTAGCAGTGCAATAAAATCAAACATCCACTTTCTTGAAAAATAATAAAACACATTTATTCTAATTTGCTCTCCTATTTCTCACCAATTTCTTCCTATAGGATTTCACATTGACAAAAGATGTTCTGTATTATTGTTCTCCTATAGGATCCTGTGAACTAATTTTCAAATTATTTTCTTTTTTTAAAATATTTTTTAGTTGTTAGTGGACCTTTATTTCATTTATTTATATGCGGTGCTGAGAATCGAACCCAGTGCCTCACACATGCTAGGCAGGCACTCCACTACTAAGCCACAACCCCAGCCCCTCAAATTATTTTTTTTATAGCTCAGAAAACAAAAAAAGGATATACAGGATCAGATTCTATCAGAAAGTGATAATTTTTTACACCAGGAAGATAGACTGGGTCTCAGATACTCTTGTCTAATAATACCAACTTGACTGGCTCTCAATATTTTTTTAAGCCCTAATTTAAAAGAAAAAGACTTATAAAAACAGTTTACTTTTTGTCCCAGAGATTTGTCCACAATTACAATATCCTTTGGTCCATAGTTCTATGGCATTAACGCAGGATTGAGCTGAATCMGGCATCAGAGGAGATATTAGGGAGGCAATATTCTCAGATACCCACATCAGGAGGAGTATGGAGACAGGTGGAGGTACTACTACAAGTGAAGGCTACTCTAAGTCTCCAAACTGTAAATGTGCCTTGCTGTGCAACTGCTTCCAGAGATAGAAGCATGTAGCAGCACATTGAGAATCAYGGAACTATCCTGGCTCCTCTCTCATCTGGGAGAGATTATGTTGAAAACTGCTTGGGCTTCATGGTCCATGAACATCTTTGTGTAGACTTAGCTAAGATCCCCAAAGTCAGGGAGACAAAGAGTTAAGAATGGCACTCTAGAATCCTAGAGGTATAAAGTCCTTCTCTGAGGCCACCTGTCTTTCCCCTCTTGGGTTCTGTGTCCCAGAAGTTTTCACAGGAGCAGCCTCAGCAGAAGAGATGGGGATGCTGCTGCTTTCCCTCCCTCTTCTCTGTAAAAATGAGCCGGCATACTGCAGTCTTCGTCCTTAGACTCTCCTCCATGAGGATGGGTTTCTACTGGATTTTTCAGGATGTTTTCATATAATTAAACCCTCCTGAAAATCTGTTCAATTATTACACAAAGAATAAGCCTATAAAATAGTCCCTCTTGAAACTTTTCTCTTTGGACAATGACATGAAAACATTTCTTTCACAAGAATACAAGAAAAACTCCACGTTTAGATTTCTGACTTTCCGACATTGGGATTCCTAGTTTTACACACTTAGGATGCAAGTATGCAAACATACATGAGTGTATACATGAATGCATGCATGTATATTCATTTGTATTTCATTCTTAACTAAAATACAGCTAAAAACATCCAATGAACAATGTTCCGGCTAATCCTCTCAGATCAATTTTGTAAATTCTGGGAGGCACCTCCTTAAAGCACCATCTTTTAAAAGCAGCAAGACCTACCTACTGCTGATCCTGGACAAGAGACCTTAATGTGGATAAGTACTGTCTGGACTGGGCAAGAACCAACAGTCACATCACAATCCCTTACTTTACTAACCAGGTTAGTAAATAAATTCCTGAGGTTTCAAGGCTACGRTAAGACAGCCATAAGGTTCATCCATTAACTTAATGGCAAACGTAAGTGACGTCGATCTGTTCTATTTTGTTTTGTTATTTAGACAAGTTTTCCCCACTCTTGAAACAATAATGCATCTACTTTGCTTTTTCCTTTTTAAACCAATGGCAATTTAACTTTATTTTAAAGATTCACCTTTAACTTATCATTTAAACAATTATCACAGAAAACTTACATAACAGAATCCTGTTTGACTGACATTTCACATGTCAAGGCTCTGAAGCTCTGACACGCAAGGTGCTTAGATAGCTGGCAAGACTAAGTACACCTAAAGCTCAGCTGAATCCCTGTTCTGTGTTTCCACTCTGTTCATCTGCTTTCCCATGGGCAAGCAGCCACCACCTATCGCAGAGCTATCTCAGTCTTAGGTCAGCAGACAATACAAGCGAAATCTGCAAAGAACGCACTGGCTTGGGTGTGGTCACCGGCAAATGAAAGCACTGATCCCCCGGTTGTAGGCTCTAAAACCAAGAGCCGCACCCTTGGCGGGTAATCCCCAAACCTGTTTCTCCCCAGTTTTAACACCAGCCCTGATGACTACCCCTAGGAAGCACAGCAGTCCCTAGACCCGGGCAATCTGGTCAGACAAAGCCAGCTACTTTCGAGAGCAGACTCACTCTATACCCAGGAGACCTCTGGCCTCTGGGACTTGCATTGCAACCGTCCGCTGCGCGCCGCTAAGCACAGCACGTCTGAGCTGCTGGTCAACAGCTTGGGGCAGACGGCGGCGCCTCRGCCTGAAGGCACCCTAAGCTGGGGAGGCGACTGTGCCCCAGCCTCACAGCGTGGGGACGCTCTACTCCCAAGCGGAATTCTCAACCGGGCCGAAGGCCCCAACGCAAACCCCAACGAGACAGCACGTGCCTTGAGGTTTCTCCGCGAGCATTTTCCATACCAGAACATTGCACACCTAAATTCTGGGGGGGCCCTGTTTCGACGTCGGGCGAACACCAGGGTCGGCTATTGTTCTCCGGGGCGGGAGACGCCCCCCATACCGCCTCCCTGGCAGCATTTGCCTCCGGGCAAAGCCCTTCAGCTCTGCGAGAACAGGGCGTGCCGGGGGCGCTGCAGATTATCACAAAATCCTAACCGAGTCCCTACGGGCACGTTCCAAGCTGGGAAACAAAGCTCCTCGCGGGGACAGCCTCACACCCGTCCGAGAGCCGCCATCCTGGGTCCCTTGCCCCGTCCTAGGACCACGCCCAGCCGGCCACTTGGGCCGCCGCGCCCCTTCCCCAGCACTGAGGGTCTTTAGGCCCGAGACCCGCCTCTCAGCTGCCTGCCCCTCCCCCCGGAAGACGCCCCTTCCTAAGGCAGACCCCTCCCCCGCAGAGCTCTAGGCTCCAACCCCCTCCGGGCTTCCCTCCTCAAACCCAGGCGGTCTCCACCCTCCCGCGTCTCTCCTCCACTTCTCATTCTTCATCGATCAGCCTCGCCCCGCGCCACCTGCACCGAGCTCCTTCCCTCTGTCCTCCGAACCTCCCTCACCGCCCCCCATCCCGTTCCCTTCTCAAACCCTGGTCCCTGCGGTCTTCCCTCAGACTCGGTCACCTGTCCCCACCCAACTCTCCAGCCTTCCCCATCTTTGCTCAAAACGAGGCCTTTGCCTCTGTCTCTTCCCTTCCCGGCTCCTCTCCAGCTCAGACTCTAGCCCCCTTCCCCTAGCCCAGGGCGTCGAGGTCCTCGCCCGCCGGGATCGATATTGCGGGTTGGGCTCTGGCTCAGGGCTCAAGGAAGGGACGCAGATTCGCGCCGGGAAGGGGTCGGGTAGCGGCAGTAGGCCTTTGTGGTTCCCGCAGGTGCCTCAAAGGCGATGGTGGGAGTCTTCTGCAGGCGTCCGCTCGCTAACCGGGCGGATGGAACGGACCGCGGAGTCTGGTACAGGCTTGGCATAAAGTGGGATGGACTGAGATTGTGTATCTGGATGGTGGGTGGGGACCGGGGACAGCGCCGATCCAGGAACGCGGCAGGACGAGCCGGCGAACGGAGAAACCACCCTCGCCCCTTGCCTTCCAGCCAGTCACTGCACGCGGATCAACAAGGGTAGGGCACCTACTGTGTGCTGAGCACGAATCCCTTCCACCCAGCCAYCTCCTCACCCCAATTATTTGCAAATCCCACGAACACATAAAACGCCAAGGCACGATATCCTGTGGGCGTACAAAGAGGACCTGCCTAGCACTCCTGTTCAGCAGGCTGGCCGCCCCCAATTCCAAACCTTCCGCCGCGTCTCCGGCAGCTGGGCCCCTCGACGCACCCCATTCCCTCCCTTTTGTGCACCTCAGAGAAAAACAGGGAGGGAGCGAGATGGAGGTCCCAGCCTGGGGAGACTATGCCCACCTCTACCCTGTGCCCACCGCCCTCACCCACTCCTCCGTGATGCTGCTGAGATGGTTGGTTGATCGTTCTGTCTCCCGGTCTCGCCGCGGCGCGGGAGCTGCCGGTGCTTGGGGCGCCAGCGGCTGCAAGCGCGCTCGCTCGGTGGCCGCCTTAGCGCGCTCGGCGCTGGACTCCGAAGTGGCGAGCGGGGGAGGGGACGCGAGTGGGGGCTGGGAGAGGCCTGGGCCAATCACGRATCAGATGGCTCCTCCCCAGCGCTCCCCACCTCTCGCTAGCAGGTTAGGGGGAGACTGGGACCCGCGGCATCCCGCACYCTCCGCGCGGCGCGCGGCGGCTGCCGCCTTGGGACTACAACTCCCGACAGACCCTGCTGCAGAGCCGGGGTCCGAGAGGGGACAGAGGGCGCGGCCCGAGAACCCGGCTGACCCCCCCCCCCCAGCGCGCGCCCTTCTCCGCGTTCCTTTGGGTTTCCATGGTGACTTGCAACATTTCACAAAGCCCGGGCGTTGGAACGCGCTGATGCACTGGTCTCCTGGGAGGGCTACGGGGGAGGGTTCCGAGGACACACTGCCTCCCCTCCCCCTGCAGGACCCCACCCGAGGGCCTGGAACAATGAGGCTGCAGCTTCGTCCTGGCAGTTGCGGAGCTGCCCCCTCCAGTGGGGCTCCACCGAGGCCTCCGAGTTCGCGCCCGGACCCGGTGCGACGCCGGTGGAATTGCTAGCTGCAGAGGGCTAGGGTAGTCGTTATAGGGAAACTCTTCTCGCCAAGCGGGACCAGCTGATTTCGCAGCTGGCCCCTTTGAGGTYTGGTAGAGTTCATTTTCGGGCGGCGACGATTTTGACCAGCGCTGCGCTGGGGTTTCCGCATCCAGAGCTTTCTGGCCCAGGCTGACTGTCCTATTTATGGCATCTCCTTTCAAGGGATGGTGAAACCACTGGAAATATTTTGTAACCCAATTTCCATCCGCTTCACCTTTTTCTTCACGTTTTACACGCATCWTTTAACAAAAACAATTTATAAAAGGAGTAGGAGGATCATCACCCCGTTCCTCACTTCGTTATCCCCGCTCAAGCCTTTGCTGTCTGTACATCTGCGTTATTTTCTGTAGTTATAATGATACTTTGGATATGGTTTAGTAATTTGCTTCTTTTCGCTTAATATCACCTCAGAGGTGTTTCAAAACGCGTTAAAATGAAGCATCTTAACCCCATCCGGGGACCCCCTAACCGGTTGCTGAAGAAGACCCTCCTGTCCCGGGTTCCCCCTCCCCACTCCACTGTGGGGAGTCATCCTCCGCACCACCACCCAATGCCTTCCTCAAGCCATAGTCTCAGAGGTGACCTCAGGTTACTTTCAAAGAAAAGCATACTTCACGACTCCTGGGGGCAAGTCCTCGCCCCCGGCATCACAACCGAATCTACTCTGGCAAGCGGCCTGCAAAGCCCGCCAAAGCGGGGTCCAAGTGAGCTACTCTGCCAGGTGGAGCGGAGTTACCAGCCTCCTCCCTGCAGCTGGTCCGCCCGCTACCGCGCGCGTGCCACCACGCGCTTTTTGCCTAAGGCAGAGGGAGTCCTCTAGTGGCAGGAAATGTTTTCTGCAGTGTTTAGTGGACCTTGAATTGGGACTCTACTTTCTTGGTCCTACCTGCCCTGACCAAAGAAAGGGCTGGTTTAAGAGTATCTGTTGGCTTGAGAAATTGATAAAGGTCATACCCAAACCCAAGATTGCAAATATCCCCCAAATTGAATTATATATATACATACACACACAACACACACACACACACACACACACACACACACACACACACATATATATACAGTCTAGGTTCTCTCTTGAGTATCAAAAAGAGTGCAGAGCTTAGAATTACGCAGCTCTTCTGCCTCAGCTCACTCCTTCCTCTTTCTCCCTCCAGAGGGCTGGATCTCCAGTGCAGAGACTGTCCTGATAGTGGATGACTCATGGAGAGGCTATTGGCAAGCCATCAGCCCCCAGATGTTCCTTCCTCTGCTGTTTGGACGATTCATCCCCTGGGTGCCCTCTGGGAAAAGGGTCTCCAACATGCTGAGAAACTATATTGTTTTCTTCCTCGGACTTCTCTTTTCACCTATTTTCCCCTCTCATACTTCTTGGTGCCAACACCAATACGGGGAACACATTGTCAAGTCCATTAGCCATTGAAATCATCATGAGTCAACAGCAAACCTCTATATCCAGGTCACTTCCACAGAGCAGGAGCCAAAAAATGGACTAGAAGACAGACAAACACACATTGGGAGAGGATAACAGGACACAGAGGAAGCACAAAGAAGCTCTACAAACAGAAATGCAGCTGAGGGTCTAGCCCAATGGTAGAGCTTGTCTATTATGAATGAGGCCCTGGGTTCACCCCCCAGTACCAAAAAGAGAGGGAGAGATAGAATATAGATAGATAGATAGATAGATAGATAGATAGATAGAGAAAATTAGATGCAGAAACTGAGACAGTGGGAAATGAGATCTAAAGAATTCTAGACCCCAGACCTGTGGCTACCCAGTCCCACATAGGAAATAGGGAAGGAGCCTGGAGAGGCTGGGAGGTGGGAGCTCCAGCAGAAAACATCAGAATCAATTCCAGTGGTTTATCACTACCCTTGAAAGGCCAATGAACTCCCTCCAGTTTTATTTTATTTAAGTACCAGGGATTGAACTCAGGGGCACTTGAACACTGAGCCACATACCCAGCCCTGTTTTGTATTTTATTTAGATACAGGGTCTCACTGAGTTGCTTAGCACCTACCTCACTGTTGCTGAGGCTGGTTTTGAACTCACATGCCTCCTGCCTCAGCCTCCGAAGCTGCTGGGATTATAGGCATGTGCCATTGTGCCCAGCTTCCCCCCAAATTTAAATCATTCCTTCTGGCAAGTTTGATTTTAAAATAAGAATTTGTCTTCTCTTGGAATTAGAATGGCCAGACACCAGCATAAGGGAGAAATTGCAAGATGATGCAGCTGCCTGAGCCCCATAACAGWAACCCATAGTTCTCAATTTGCATTTATTTCACACACATATAACAATTCTTTAAGCCAAAAGGAACCTAGACACTGCAGAGTCTCACAATGCCAACATTATATGGATGAGGATAACGATGCTTTGTTTTATGCTTTTTTCTCCTTTAGTAAAATTCATTTGCGTGTTAGCAAGAATAACAATGAGGGCAAGAAACACAACTCTGATAAACAATCACCTTCAGAGAACAAGAGTTACTTTAAGAACCAGATTTTTTTTTTTTTTTTTTTTTTTTTTTGGTACAGGGAATTGAACTCAGGGGCACTCAACCACTGACCCACTTTCCAGTCCTATTTTGATTTTATTTAGAGACAGGGTCTCACTAGGTTGCTTAGCACCTCACTGTTACTGAGAGTGGCTTTGAACTCCTGCCCCAGCCTCCCAAGCTGCTGGGATTACAGGCCACTACATCAGCGAAGAACCAGATCTTTAATCATCTTTCCTCTGCCCCCACCAGTCACACTGTACAACACAATGCCTTATTAAACTCTACCAATGTGAGGCGCTGAGGACATTGGAAARAAGTCCCTCATCTCAAATTGAGTTTTTAATAAAATGAATCCAAAGAAATAAAATAGCAAGAAACACCCATTGCTGCCTTTACCTGATTTTTTTATTTCTGATAGTATGAAGCCAGCCATTTGTTGATCTGGTTTTTCCTTTTTAGTTGCATTAATCAGAACTTATTTCAATAAGAATTAAAGTTAGCTTGTAATCACAGCAGGAAGATTGCTTGGGCATCAGAGTTCAGGGTCAGCCGGGGCAACCCCATTTTAAAATAAATGAATAAGTAAAACAATTAAAGTTAATATTTATTGAGCATTTCTTGAGTCCTTTATGTATGGCATTCATTCAACCCCACAGCGCACCTGTAAGACAGATATGGCTTCCACTTTATGGAAGAGGGAAATGGGTCCTTAAAGGCTGGTAACTCACCTAGTCAATTTGAAGGGGCAGAGCCAAGATCCAATTTTAGTATATGTGCTGCCGAAGCGAGCACGAGAGCCAAGATCAAAGCCTCCGTTTGACTTCAGGTTCCATCACACCACACTGCCTCTCATGATCATTATTCCTTTTGTATTTGCCCTTTTGATATTTTGAATTCATATTGTAATTTTCAAGGCAGTGTGCACCCCATGGAGCTTGGTGATTTTATTGAATTTGATTTCCCAGTTTTAAATAAAAAGCCTCTAGTAAGGTCCCCAGGGAACCAGGTGTCCTGCTGTTAAATCCTCCCGTCTTCCAGAGACTTGTACTTTGGGGTCAGTGGAGACAAGTGCCTAAGTGACCTAGAAGGGGTCACTTCCCCCAGTGGATGCTTTCTTCCCCACTTAAGGTCCATGATCTGTGGTTCTGTTATTTTGAGGATCAACAGAGAAGGGACAAGTCCCAGCCTGTCGGAGCTGGTGGACTATATTTGACACCTGCCTGAACCATTCACTCCCCTGTGAAAATATGTCAGATTAAACAGCCTCTCTATGCCTTGGTGTCCTCCTCAGTGAAAGGAGGCCAGTTCAGTACCTACCCACAAAGAGGCTGCAGGAAATGAATAAGGATGTGTACATAAGGTGCTTGTGTATACAGTACATGTTCAGTGTCAATCTTCGATATAGATTCATCAATATAGATTCATTGATATATATTCATTTTAATAAGCTACAACTTTTGACACAGTAAAGCCCATACAACCAAGAATTACTGTTAGGAGAGAGCACCCACTTTGCAGAGTGTGATGAGGATTGAATAAGTCAGAATGCTCAAGTAAATTCTCAAAAGATGTCAGCAATTGTAACTACGACCATTATTATCTGTTAGTGAACCAAATGCCCACCAAGTGTGAAACAGAGTATATAGATCCTGGTCCTGATAAGAATAAGAGAAGTCTACTTGGCTTTATTGTCTTTGGRGTGGAAATAGTCTTTTGAGATCCTTGCCATGCTCTGCTGGGAATCTTGACACACCAGACTTGCTAGGTGTTCAGCCAGTTCCTAACAAGGTCTGGGCACCTGTCCAGGAATTGAAGTTGGGCTGAAGTCCTTCAAATAAGCTTTGGAGATTTTGTTCTGTGCATCTAGAATCCAAGCAGATG